CACACACACACACACACACACACACAGACAGTATGTACTGATCCCATACGTCCCCGCTCACACACAAATCGTTTAACAGCGTTTGCGCTGCTCGAAATACCGAGAGAAGCGCATTTATTCCGCCCGCAGATAACGGCATAAATCTAGCTGTAGGTAACGGTGCGCGAATCGAAAGCTCGCTGGTGCGCGCGCGCTCTATCTCCCGCTCCGCTCCTGACGTCAGCGAGATTGTCTTTGAGAGCGTCGCGCCCAGCAGCGCTCTCTCTCCACACTGACCCTCCATTGTGCACACGCTAACGATGCCAGCGCTCGCAGCCGCCGCCACCCAGTAGAGAACTCCCAGCCCGAGGACCGAGCACCACGACCCCGCTACACAGTCCGAGAGCGCGCGCCAGAGACTTATGTTCGAGCCCAACATTGTCTTTTGCGGGATTTAATGCTCTAGCTAGTCGACGACAGGGAGAGAGAGAGAGAGAGAGAGAGAGAGAGAGTGTGTGTGTGTTTGTGTGTGTGAGAGAGAGAGGGATAGGGACAGCCTTAGCGAGGGATAAGGAAGAAACACCGAGGATATTTCTCACCCGGACCGTTTTGGAGATAAAAAAGAGCCGAGATTCATCTAGCCATGGGATGTACACTGAGCGCAGAGGAAAGAGCGGCTCTGGACAGGAGCAAAGCCATCGAGAAAAACCTCAAAGAAGACGGAGTCACTGCTGCTAAAGATGTGAAATTGCTCCTGCTAGGTAATGCGGAGTGGAGCCCGTCAAATCTAACATTAGCTGTATCCTACACATCTCAGCCGATGAATGCACATAGCCTATATGGGATCTCTTCATTTTGACAGGCGATCTTACTCCTTTGTGTCTGTGTCTTCTCCACAGGGGCTGGGGAATCTGGGAAAAGTACCATCGTGAAACAGATGAAGTAAGTGGCATGTTTTAAATGACATCCATCAGTCAGTCAGGCAGTCAGTCAGTCAGTGTGTGCTTTGTGAGACACACACGAACCCACCCACACACACACACACACCCTCGATTGCTTGATGGCGAATTCTTAGGTCCGCCATATTTTCAAGGAGCTCTCTCTCCACTAGCGTGTTACATACATTGTAGCTGTCCGTGGCGTGATGATACGGTGTGGCAGATCCGCAGTATGTGTATTGTGGGTTCGGGAAGACGAGGCGCCGTCGATGTGCTGTTCACGAAAATCGTGCTGAAAGTCAGCATGGGGGACCGTGTTTCTTTTAGTCTAATGCTCCATTGGCGTCCACTGACAGTGTAGCCTACTTCACACCCGGCTGAGTAACATTAACACATTCCACCCCGATTTCACTTCATCCTGTGGGCATTTACGGATGTCTCTGATGTCTTCCTGTGCGTTTGCTTCTATAACACATACGTCAGAAATCAATCAGATATATATACGCTTAAAGAGATATAGCTGTATGCTACTGTGCCCTTCTGGCAGAGAATTAAATGGCTGTTCCTTAGATTTTAGCGTCCTTTTAGAGATTATGTAATTTCACCTGAATTATATGAAATATAGACCGATAACTGGCTTGACCCATATATATATTTTTCTTTTTCTTTTTTACCTATATCCACACTTTTCTGCTCGACTGGTTATCGGTTCTTCAGTATTGGGTCCATTGATAAATGGCATCCCCTTAATGGTACTCATTTTTAATGTACTGTTTTCAAGCTGTTACATAGCAACCATTCATTTTCAATGGGAAAATGGCGTTTTAAACACTGGCTCCAAAATAAAATGTCTCCCATTTAGATTCACATAAATATAGTTACATGATGAATAATAATATAATCAATCTAAACACAATGCACGTTGTTTTATTTTTACTGCACCAAAAATCACAAATAAATCCATTAAAATGATTCTCCGTATTTTATTTTTCACTTGTAAAAGTAATTTATTAATTGGTAAAAATGATAAAAACCCACTATCACTCGCTCCCTACTATATGCAGTTAATACGGTTTTAAGAGCCTTCTGTTTACTGAGAATGGTGAAGGCAGAGCTTATATGGCAAATGGTGCCTGGAGATAATGCTGTCGGCTGTGTGCATGGCGTTGGTGCAACATGAACAGGCCTTCATGCGTTTGCCTTCTGTGTTGGGTTGATGCTCATGGTGAAGGAAGAAGGTTTGACACCCAACCAGCTCAACTTTCTCATGGCCATTTTTATGCACTGACGTTCTCTTTACGCCTCACTGAAAACCATCTGTTCATCTACCTTGCGGTTTGGATGTCATATTCTTAGTTGATTGACTTATAAATGCAGCTCCTCCGGTTATTTCCTCCTTTGACTGGCTTTGTAATACTTGATTTTATCTCTGGACATGGTGTGTGTTATACAATACGTATGGGCTAATTATGTAGGCTATATGATTATTGATAATAGGCGTTAGAATGTAGCCTAAGTGAGATTTTTATTTGTCGAGCTGTATCAAGCGCAGGTTATTGCTCAATGCAAATCATTCGATGAAGAGAAACGCCTCCATTCTCAAGTGTGTGCACAAGGCAAGCTGCCTTTGTTGAATCGAAATCTGTAGCCCTCAGAAAATGTCATTTTATCTGGTCTGGCTATGTTATTATATTGCGGTGCTTTTGTAATGCGATCCTAAGCCATTATAATGGAAAAACGCATGTAATTAGTACGGATATATTTTGAAATGGTGCATCGGAAGATTTCAGGCGGTTTCAGTGGTGGACAGCGCCCAGCAGAGTCTTTTTCTGAGATCGGCTTTCTTCGGCCATTTTCGGTTTTCTCCGTCGTTAAGAGTGTTGAACCTGCGGCGAGAGGGAAAACAGGGAATGGATTTGTGCGTTGTTTGCGCTGGCCACACGTGTTCAGAGAGAGGTGCGGTCTATGTTATTTTACCAAACACCTTTGTACGTTGATTCTTTTGTATTACATTTGTGTATGAATGTTTTATGTCCCACATACAATGCTTAGCTTGAGACAATAGCAAAATTAGCAAAAGCAGCTGACTAGCAGAGCCAGAAATTAATCAGGGCAAAAACGCAAATAAATTGCTAAGATATTTAAAATGTGTGAACAGAAAATTTACCTATTCCTCATATTTAACATTTTATATTTCAGTATTCTGTAGCATGGTGTTTGTGTTGTGATATCTTGGGACATACATATAGGCTACAGCAAATTTTAAATTTGATGTGTACCAGGTAACATTGACATTCTCATTGATAATTTCAGCAATTAATAGCTTAAATCTGACTGTTTATTTTATGATAATTAAACAGAAAGGGAGAAAATCGACTTAAGGGTGTATATTGCCTCTAAATATAACAAGTTAATAATTTCTGACAATGCTTACAGAATGAGTTCAGGTTGAGGATAAGGGGAAACCAAAATTATATAATTTTTTTTCAGTTTCAAATTGCTTGGTCAGCTTAACAAATTAATGACAGTATTCACCACTGCTTTTAAGCCATTGTAGCTAATGCCTCAGGCATATTTCTAAGTCATCCAAAGAGTGATGACTCTTTCCTCTCTAAGGATTAATTGTTGCTCTGATGTGCTTAATTGGGTAATAAGAGTGTCTCATGATGGAGCTGGTTAAACTGTTTGGGTCCTAAAGGAGTGGAGTATGTAGCTCTGGGCTTCTTACTGTAATACGCCATGAATGAGTTGCTTTTTCAGGACTTTTGTTGCGTGCGCTTAACTAGACCGTTAAATGTTCCACCACCATCACTTACTTAAAATGCTTTTTAGGATATTGCAGCTTCAGTATAATGCATTGCATTTAATGTAGATTTAATGCGTTCAGTAAAAAGGAATTTTAAAATCTGTTTATTATGTCTTCCAGCTTCCCCAGAGACATCATTTAAAGCATATAAGCCTTTGTCGTGACTTTCTCCACGAAATGTTATGCATATGTGATAATGGCAGCGCTATAATAAATCTAGATCTGTGGTTTTTGCCAGACCTTTTTGATATATAGTGAGAATAACATAACAGAACACCAACATTCATATCGCAACAAGCTAATTGGACACTTCAAATACCTCCACTGTGTGTTAGATGGTTTCTAGCCTTTAGTTAAACAGTATTCTGTATTGCATGGCTTGAAAAGGGCGGATGAAACAAGGAGGTGTACACTTAACATGTCAGAGTAAACCAGGGAACTGGATGATGTGTGAAAGATGGTGTGAGAGAGAGAGAGAGAGAGAGAGAGGGCGCAGCGTGAGAAGGGGAGATGTTGATAAACCCGGGTGATTATGGTGTAGTTCTCTAGGCAGGCAACAGTGCTTCCATCTGCTTCATTAGTTCAGTGTGAGAGGGAAGTGTTTAAGTGTACACAGGCTGCTCTCAACAGATGATCACATCACACATACACGGCTCTCTCTCTTTCTCTCTGTTCCTGCGCTCATCTTCCTGGCACCTAGTCCTATGGGAATGAAATATAAGCAATTGAAGGTGTATTTTGTGTGTTGGAGGGAGAGAAAGAGAGAAAAAATGTGAGTATATGGTAGGGCTGGGCAAAAAAAAATCGATTTTTCGATATATCGTTTTTTAAAATGTGGTCGATTCAATATCGATTCTCGAAGGCCACGAATCGATTTTTTTCAATATTTATTTCCACAAACATTGAACATAAGATTTACGTTAATCTTATTACTAGTCTAATCCACTAGATGTCACCCCCTTATTTACCTTGCGCGATGTTACAACGGAGAGTCCGTCATTCATTCATTGCTTAAAATGGCGGATTCTGGTGCGTTCCCGACGTCAACACCACCTTCAACAGAGCTCTACAGTGCGACCGAAAACTACTGCGTGTGACTATAAACATTTTTTTAGTGAATGCTGTGAGATTTTATGTTTGTTTTATCTTAAACATAAAATAACCTGATCCTGTTTGATCAAGGCATGCGACTGTTCTGACTTGTCCAATTTTCAGCATCAGTTTTTCATCTTGCTTCAAAATTCTGTCTATTCATTGTATGCATTTGAAATATAGAGTTGGGTTTTGTTTTATTGTACCCAAGTGTACCTAAAATAAAAAGTGTTTAATATACAGGTTTGTGGCTCTTAATTTCCTATTAATTAACCATTTGTAATCTTATGTTCACTGTTCATTTTTTCTAAATATAGGATTTGTATTATATCTATATTCATTCATATAGTCAAATCGAATCGAGAATTGAAATCAAAAATCGAATCGAATATTGAATCGGAAATCGAATCAAATTGAGAGCTTGAAAATCGAAATCGAATCGAATTGGAACATCTGAATCGATACCCAGCCCTAGTATATGGTGATGAGAACAGTTTCATAGACCCTGGAGACAGAGCCATGTGTGTCATCATCCTGCATGTCACTTCCTCACCCACGCGTGTCATTCATGGATGATCAAAAGCAGCCTTCAGAAAACAGATAAAATGTATACGAAAAGTTATAAGGCATGATTTGTGCACTGAACAACCTTTACATGCCGATTGTGGCATATTAAAACTAGGGATGCTCCGATCCGCCTTTTTCACCTCCGATTCCGATACCTAGGGTTCAGTATTGGCCGATACCGATCCGATACCAGTGAAGTTTT